ATGCCACTGAAAGTTGAGAGACTGTCTAGCTTTTCAAACTGTTCTTTCTCCCGAACTTTGAGGAGGAGGTCTCCGCTAGCCATTTTGATTATTTTGTATTCAGCCCCGAGGGTTTCGGTAAGACACCTGGCAACTACGAAGGGGGATACAATCCTGGCTTACTTTCCAGCTTTTTCACAGTGAATGACATAAAAGTGAGGGTTTGTTTCTATTGGCCAGTTAAAAACAATTATGTCATCGGTGCATACCCGCTTTAATCTGGTATTTAAGCTAAGTAAGAGGAATGCTCTATGCATGCCAATCGTATTTTTTATCAGCAGCGTTGGCGACCACCCACCATAGAAACGTTACAAGTGTGGATACTAAAAGCCTGCAGACGCCAGTCGTACTACACTACCATAACCCAATGCACCTAGACCAAGGTAGTCTATTTGAAAAGGTTTAACCCTTGCCGCCAAATTTGGAAGTAAAAGGAAGAAACAAGAAAACAAGAAAAATCAAAAGTGATAGAAAAGGCAAAGATGTTGAGAGAGAGGGGGATAAGAAAGGGTAACTGCTGATTTCCCCTGGGTGAGTCAGCCCTGGGGTGCAATCTACATGAAGCAAAGGCCAAAGGGGTGCGTTGCCCTCGCCAGAGGGCCTTAAAGGGCCACTCACCAGGCCCAATACCGAATTTTAGTAGATAGTGGAAGTTGTTGGGTGTCCGATGAGGAACGTTTCACCACAAAAATTTTTTGAATCGGTTTATTACGAGCAGAGAAAACAGGTTTTTTGAAGCCGCGCGAAACGAGGGTGAGAGGAGGCGAGCTCGACACCCTTGCCGCTCCTCCGCGTAGCCTTCACATCTCTTCCCCAACCTCTCCGGCATCCGACCGAGAGGTGACGTGCGCATGACGTGCCCGAACAAGGCCAGCCCCCGTTGCACGAGAGCGGCGTTGCTTTGATGACCAGCGTAATTTTGTGGTCTTCAACCTGTTTCTGTGAGATTGTTTAGAAATGCTGGCTTAGACGCGGTAGAGTAGATGAGCCCAATGAGTGCGCGAACGTGTAGGAGCATTCCACGGCGGTCATCTGCTCGATGCGCTGACTGCGGAGACCCGAATGCATGCGAAACGCTGGCACATTGGCCCCACATCTCATAGCATTTCACGGGAAAATATGTAAGAAAAATGCGCACAATTTTTTATTGCGTCTCATTATTTATTTCAAGTTTTATTCATCTCTTAAAGCAACAAATACATAAACTACGTATGTTGTGTTAAATAATTTTTGCCATGTCACGTGGTATACTGTTGACAACGTCGGAGCAGAGTCGTCTCCGTAGAGGACCAACGTCACTGCATTGCCGTGTACGTAGGGCCATTCCTACGCAAACATCATGCCCTCATTCTCTACGCGTGTGCCGGCAGAGGGGAGGGGGAACAGCTTTCATCTTGAAATTTGACCCATTTCCACGGCGCGTAGCGTTGCCAATTTTGGCAGACGTGATCATGAATGCCTCGTCTACGCATCGCGCTTGTCAGCTCAAAATTGTCAAAGCTGGTGAGTGGCCCTTTAAAGGCCCAATCAACCGGCATCGGCTCAACCCCCAGGACTCTTTTTTATCCAGACACGGCTCAGCCATGCACGGCTAAGCGTGGGAGGGAGTCGACCCCCCCCCCCCTCCCCCGTTGGCTCGGGTCCGTGGTGTCACTACGCACCAAACATCTGCTTATGCAAACAAACAAAAAAAAAATGAGCACAGGTTTGTTAACAGACAATTTTTCAGGCTGTGGTATGTGCCAAACTGTTCAAACATGGCTGCAATAAACTGATATACACACATAATAGAGATGAGCCTACATTTTTGGCATTCTGCCCTTATATTAACAGCGATTCCTTGGTTTACTGGGATGAGCGTTCAATGTAGGTGAGCTTGTATGGGATCATCATCTAACAAACTGCATAGCAGGACAGGCCACAAGGAAAGAAAAACACAGGAGTGCAAATGGAACTACATGGGTATAATGTGCCAAAGCATTTTAAGCATATTCTATGATTGATCCCACAGGGCTCATAGCTATAACAAAGAAAAAAAAATTCAAGGGTTTATAAGAAGTTTCAAGGACCTAATCAAGGATTTTCAAGGACTTCAAATGACACTTTTTGATGTAGTATAAAAAGACAGCAAAATCTTTATGGCATGGAAGCACACTCACTACACATAAGCAAAAGCATTTTTTCCTATCAATATCTAACTAAAAAATTTCTCCTCTGTCTATTTTCAGCTAATATTAAATATTTTACAGGTTTCACACCATTGCACTGTTTTTTACAGGTTTCACCATCTCTTGCTGGTTTCTTCAAATTGATTTACCTCACAATCCATATGCATGCACACGCGTGCAAACGCACACACAAACGTGGCCATTTCAAATAGTGAACTTAATTAAGATGAACTTGCTGAAGCTTTCCCCCCAACTTGCCATCTATTTCTGCAAGATCCAGAGTGCTTTCTTTCACAATTTTTCCTAAAGGGCAGCACAAAATTTGTGATGGAAAGATAACTGCATGCTTGTATGATGCGAACATGCTGCTGCAAGAATTTCATAAACAAGGCAGTAATAAGAAAGTCACAGGGTACACAACAACCTGTATCTGCTGGTTTTGGTTTCTCACTAGGCTTTCTCAACCGCCTTTGCAGTGAAGCGGGTAGGCATAGCCCGTTTTCATGACTATGCCCCCTTCGGCAACGTAGCCCAATATCAGCTCTTACGTCCTCGGCATGCAGCCAATCACCGAGCAAGGCTTCTTCTATGTGTCATTCGTGTCGGAGTGGTTTGGTTAAGAAGGGCGGTACGAAGGGTGCAAGGATCAATTGACACAGTCACTGCTATCATAAGTCCCTCACACTACTTCTCTAGCAAGAAGGACTGGAGAGAGGCAAGGAATTTTTTTTTTTTTTAATGAAGCATTGCATGAATGAACAAGATTGCTTGGAAGGTGTACAAAAAAATTGTGTGGCCCTTTAAGTTGTTTTGCATGACAACGAAGGCAATGTGACTTGTGGTGTGTGAGTATGATATATATATATATATATATATATATATATATATATATATATATATATATATATATATATATATATATATATAGATATAAGGGAAAGAAGTGTATACTTAAGGGCTCGTTTTTCTGTGTTTTGACACAATATTAATGAGATCTATCAGACAATAATGCCAAGGAATGTATTGGGGAAGTTATTAGAACCAATGTAATGTAAATAAGAAGAAAGAAAGGTGGGTGAAAAATAACCTGCCATGAGCAGGAATCGAACCTACGACCTTCGAATAACGCGTTCAATGCATTGAACGCGTTATTCGAAGGTCGTAGGTTTGATTTCTGCTCATGGCTTGAACGCGTTATTCGAAGGTCATAGGTTCGATTCCTGCTCATGGCAGGTTATTTTTTCACCCACCTTTCTTTCTTCTTATTTACATTACATTGGTTCTAATAACTTCCCCTATACGGTACATACCTTGGCATTATTGTCTGATAGATCTCATTAATATTGTGTCAAAACACAGAAAAACGAGCCCTTAAGTATACACTTCTTTCCCTTATATATATATATATATATATATAAATAAATATATATATATATATAGAGAGAGAGAGAGAGAGAGAGAAAATTCCATCTCTGAAGTTCTCAAAGTTCATGACACCGCCATTTTTATCATGTTTCACACAATGAGTGTAAACTTAGGTTTGGTGGGTCTGTCACCGAAACCATGTTAAATAAATTCATTGCATTGAAGGTCTTATTGCCTCAAGTATACAAGTTACAGTCATTAAAAGCATAGCCCGAATCCGGGGGGAAGGGGGGATAAGACCTTCAATATCTCTTCTGAATTTTTTAAACTTGTATGTGTGTAGATGGTGGTTCGTTAAGCAATACTGATTTTTTTTATTCTAAGCAGCTTAAGATGGGGGCTTTGTCCATTCCTCCTGTGGCGTTCGCATCCCCACTGCCCATGTGCGTCCCCCCTGTATCTCCTCTAAATGTCCTATATTTTACGGAGTGGTGCGCACGACAGGTGGTATGACAGCTGCATACTCTGCTGGGAGCGCCACGGTAGTTGCGTGGTGAAAAATGACGGAGTGTGCACGCCTCATTCGCTCCTGCGCAACGCCGCGATAAGCGCGACACCCACTGCTCAATAAATTACACCATTTCCTGCTTAAGTGAACCATCTCCCCGCTGCTTCGCATCCATACATCGTTTCCTTTAGCAGGATATGTAATTTTTTTTAGTAAAAATGCTATGACTGAAGCCTGACGTCTTTGCTAACGAACACTATGCCAAGATAACTTGCCATGTACACGGACGGAATCTGCGACCTTCGAATAATGCATCCCATGCTCTACTTACCGAGCTACCACGGCGACTATCCCCACATTCACTTTATTGGGTATATATGTGAATTAAACGTGGGAGTGTCAGTCAGCGTCCCCAGTAGCCATGATGGCGAGTGTGGAACACACTTTATTTGGCTGTTTAGTATCACGTAGCACGTGAACTTATTGCAATCTGGCAGTTGACCAATAATCCCCCGTGTACTACCTGAAGGCCCACGGCAAGTTATCGTTTCGTCCACTTTTTTTTTCACATTTACATTACAATTACTTCTAATAACATCCCCTGTACTTTCTGTTGCATGATTGTCTGTTATATATAATTAACATTGTGTCTATCAAAGATAACGAGCCCTTACATGCACACTTCTTTCCTTCATTTATACCGAGGGTCTCGTTTTGGCAGACTTAGTGTCTTCAGGTAGTATATGAGCGAATATTGCGATTATTGAATTTCTGCGAAATGAGCTCTTTAATGCTCCTATGTTGAAAAAGAAGAGAGAAAAAAAGTTCCTCCACCTCACTAATTTAGTGCATCCACAACTGCATAAAAAATGACAGAAACAGAAAGAGAGGAGCAGAAAAAATGTCAACAGGGTACTTACATAAGAACGAAGACTAAACTCTGTTCTATAGTTTTGTGAAGACATAAGAATAATTTGGCGGGCTTTACTCAGTGGCCCATTAACAACCTGAGCAAATGCCTTTACATTCTCTTTATGCCGCTCATTTGATTTCTTGGATAAGTGTAACTGTAAGAAATAATGACAAATGTTTTACACACAACTACATAGCAAGACAAGTACAAATAGCTTCACTCCTAAAGGTTGTTTTGTCACATTTCCTAGACCAACAGTTCCCCCCAAAACGTACAAATGAGTGCTACAAAGGGGGGGGGGGGGGGTTGTAGAGGGAAAGAAGCAGCTTCTTTTCCAAGCTTTCAGATATACAGGGCTTGTTGCAAAGACTTGCTGTTGGATGCTGCTAAACAAACAAATAAAGTCTGTTTGCTAAGCAGCGCCTTATGGACTGTGAAACAGCTGAAGTGATATACTAGTATCACAGGAACTAGTGGTTCCTATCAGTGGCAATTCATAAAAGAAATGAAAAAAAAAAAAGAAAGCAGTAATAAGAACCTAAACATGTACTGATGGCATGGAAGGCAGCCCCATTATTCTGTGAAACGAATGATGCCATCAAGCCCCTTTGTGGGACAGTCAGACACATACGTCCCACTTTTTCTTCTGCAGAAAACCCAAATCAGCTGTCATAACTAGCACAGCAATAAGTGGCTGCCATCTCAAGTAAGATCATGTAAGTTTGAGAATAATTGTTTTATTGCAGTTTTGGAAAGCATAAGTAGTGCCACAATGTGATTGAAATTTGCTCCTTTTCTTACTGAAGGTTCCGAATTTCGGTTCTGTTCAGGAAAAAAAAAGAGAACATGTTACTTAAAATGCCTGATAGTATTCTCTTTATTTGGTTTACTAGACGTGCGATTTCAGCTTCCATTCATCCTGTGGTTATGTAGATTTGCACAGAGACTTGACTGATAAATGCAGTGAAATAGAGTCCTCTGCGAAACTTTTTACGCTCTTCGCTAAGCTCAATTGGGTATAAGAGTGCACTAAAATAATTTACCCGATATCATATACCTCTTGAAAAATGCGCAGATGTTCAGGGACGACACCAGTACTCGAACAATTTGACAGCAAAAAAGGGGACAAAAAAAAAAAAAAATGAGGCAGAATATTTGTTTGTGTGGCGAAGCAAGCTTTACAGGAATAGCCTGCAGTCATATGAAGACTTGTAGGGAGAATGTGCGAGCGCTCTTTCGCTACTGGAAATGAGGTGCCCACAGCGTTACTCTGCAAACCATTATAAGCGCTCCTATGCGCCACTTGTTAGGGCTGTTTAATCTTAAAAGGCCACTCACCAGGCCCCATACCGAATTTTAGTTAGACAGTGAAAGTTGGTGGGTGTCCGATGAGAAACATTTTACCACAAAACTTTTTTGAATCGGTTCATCAAAAGCGAAGAAAAAAGGTTTTTTGAAGCGGCACGAAACGAGGATGAGAGGAGGCAAGCTCGAAACCCTTGCCGCTCCTACGCGTAGCCCTCGCAAGCTAAATCTCTTCCCTACCCTCTCAGGCATCCGACCATGAGGTGATGTACGCATGACGTGCCCAAGCAAGTCCAACCCCCGAGCAGGAGAGCAGCGTTGCTTTGTTGACCAGCGTTATTTTGCAGTCTTCTGCGTGTTTCTGCGGGATTGTTTGGAAACGCTGGCTTAGATGCAGTAGAGTAGAAGAGCACAATGAGTGCGCGAACGCGTAGGAGCGTTCCACGGTGGTCATCTGCTCAATGCGCTGACTGCGGGGACACGAACGCATGTGAAACGGCAGATTAGCCCCGCATCTCTTAGCATTTCACGGGAAAAAATGAAAGAAAAACGCGCCCAATTTTTTATTGCGTCTCATTATTTATTTCAAGTTTTAATATTCTCTTGAAGCAACAAATACATAAATTACGCATGTTGTGTTAAATAATTTTTGCCATGTCACGTGGTATACTGTTGACGTCAAAGCAGAGTCGTCTACATAGAGGACCAATGTCATTGCATTGCCGTGTACGTAGGGGCCATTCATACGCCCACGTCATGCCCTCATTCTCTAGGCGTGCGCCCGCAGAGGGGAGGGGGAGCAGCGTTCATCTTGAAATTTGACCCGTTTCCGCCGCGCGTAGCATTGCAAATTTTGGCAGACGTGATCATGAACGCCTCATCTACGAATTACACTTGTCTGCTGAAAATTGTCAAACCTGGTGAGTGGCCCTTTAAATACTTGGCGATGTGATCGCCTGATGGTATCTTCATGATTTAGTGGGATATATGTGTCCCACTTTTTTCCAGCAAAGTAATGACTAAATATTGATAGAATATGTTTAATACTAATTCTTTGAAATTTATATGTATATACCACAGCTGGTGACAATAATTGTGTCAAAAATATCGGCAAACCTACAAAGGGTTCACTTATGAAAAAAAAAAAAATGGTTTTGTGTTTCAAAAGATACGTCACACAGTAATTTTACTGTATGTCATGCCTTTTTTGACATTAATTTACTTAATTTATTGCCAATGGGGAGGCCAAAATACACCCATTCATATGTAATGTACTCGCTGTGAATAAGTACTAAATTGCCTTGAATTGGCAAACTTCACCAGACAGCGCAATGTGCACGTTTTTCCTTCTCCCCTAGCAGACTCTCACGACAGAGGGCATGACAATGCAGCGCCTGACTTGATGACTTTGATGGGATACCCAAGCAAGCACCGAAACCCTCCTCAAGAATGGCTGGCTCCATGGGCCGGGCACTACTGTCAGCAATGTTCCCAATGAGAATACACATATTGAAAAGGAGTAAAAAAGATAAAAAAATGTGCTCTTTACTTTCACAATTACATTACAGTCTTAAAAACTTCTGCCGAATATATTCAATCAAGGACACAATGCTTGTTAGATAATAATAATACTACTACTACTACTACAACTAATAATAATAATAAAACTTAAAAAGTGTTGCAGAACCCCTTCAATACTTTTCCTCAGTGCCATGAAAAACAGAGGCAAATCAAATGTAAAGCAACTTGCAATCTTACCATAAGTTCATTGAAGAAGCGTGCGTAGTGAGGTGAAGATTGAAAATCAGCTAAATCCATTGCAAACTGGGATTCTATGTTTGACTTTTCTCTCTCCAGGCTAGAATAAAAACCAAGATAAAGACACAAGCATTTAGTATATAGAGGGTTACTGGTAAAAACAATACAGATTTTTATAAACGTGCTATGACTATCAGGCCCCCATTGTCTTCACAGACAAACTCCACACTGAGATGAAAAAACTTTGCCAGCACCTAACGCGATGCTGAAATGAGTCATTCGTAAAAAATTCAAAATTACTTCATTAATGCTTGGCGATGTGATCGCCTGATAGTACCTTCATGATTTCGTGGGACACATGTGTCCCACTTTCTTCCAGCGAAGTAATGACTAAATATTGATAAAATATGTTTAATACTAATTCTTTGAAATTTATATGTATATACCACAGCTGGTGACGATAATTGTGTCAAAAATATCGGCAAACCTACAAAGGGTTCACTTATGAAAAAAAAAATGTTTTTGTGTTCCAAAATATACGTTAAAGATTACTTGAAGGTCAGTTGTTTAATAAAAAAAGCCATTTAATGTGACAATTTATGACATTCTTATTGTTTAAAAATCCCCAAAACACATGTAGTTTCATATGTTAATCATTAAAATTTAAGGCCCCGATCGTAGTAATAAGAAAACTGAGCGCCCCACTGCATGAAGTCATCAGACTGGAAGTTCACATGACGAACTTTTAAATAAGACTCATCACAGCAGAGCCTGGTCGGTAAAAACAGCTAGTAATTTCAAATACACAAGTGTACAGCTTGTTCTTCATGCCTGGCATGTAGTGCTTCTGCGTTACTTTGTTCAATTTTGAAGTGTAAAGAACTTTTTCACTCGACTGCGAGAAGTAGTGCTACAATGGCGGTCTCCTAGTTTTACACTGTACAGTGAAAGGAAAGGTGGAAACTGGAGTTTTCTTGGGTAGAGTGCGAAAGGAACATATAAGCACTGCATGCCAAACGCAAAGAACACACAGTCCAATTTAACGTTTGTTTGGTATTTAGGACAACTCAGTGTCTTTCCAGACCGAATTCCAGTGCGAAGTGTTTTTTTTTTCCCCCTTCAAATGTTTGTCACGTCAGCTTCTATTTGGACGTAAGAGCTGGTGCACTTCCTGTGCACCCACAGTGCTCAGCTTCAATTTCGCCATGAACATAGGTTTCTCAAATTACGTGTTTTTTTGTGATTGAAAAAAAAATGAGTATGACATATTTGATACATTCTGCAACTTTTCCATAAAGATAACTGCCATCAAGTAAATAGTATTTAAAAAGCTAATTAATCAGAATTTGCTAATTACTCATTTCAATGTAACTATAGCTACACCAAAGTTTTTCCGTTTCCGTGTAGAGTCTGTTTGCAAGGATGACAGTGGCCGGACAGTCATAGCATTTTTATATAAAAAACCGTATTGTCTTTAAATAAAAAAAATAAATATTAATCTCACTCTGTAGAGTCTAGAGCAATACCTGCACACTCAAACTTCTACCTAAAGTAAATTGCTCCCTGTTGATAAAATACACTTCATTACTAGAACAGCATTCGTCCACCATGGCAAAACAGCTTGCCACTAGACTGAATTGCCGAATCAGCACTTGGCCTTCAGCCTCTAATGTTTTGCAGAAGCACAGGTCACATCTGCTGCACAGAAATATGCATTTTGAGATACACTGCCAGTGGAAATGAGGCAATGCTCAGCCCCCCCTTTCCCAATGTGACACTAGTATGACCGTGTTAACCTAATAAATTTTGCTTTCCTGGGGTTTTTTTAACGTACAAGTAATACATGGTCTACTAATCTAATGCCAATGACCAATGCAGTTATGCCAGAGCCCGAACTTTCTGAATTGAATGTTTGAACGGTTTCGAATTGAATGCCTGAATTCAGTTTCTACGATTCTTCCAAAATGTTCCTGTTGAAGTTGAGCACCAAGTTGGTAGAAAAGATTAGTTTGGTTTAATTCTTCGGCCTCAGAAAAAACAGTTTAATTTTGCTATTGCACCGAGTTTATTGAGTCAGAATTGCAAATACATGATGTGCACTTAAAGGACCCCAGACACCAAAATTGAAACCTCAATCATGTTTGTGTCTGATTGTACTGTAAACAGGGCACTTCTTACAACTTATTAGTGCTCGACGTTAGTGTTAAGATGTTTTAATTTGACTTTAAAGTATCAGTGAGTGCCCATCTGACTTGGCAGCACCTCGTGACATCAGCACAGGTATGATGTAGACTGAGGCCCTGTGTGATGTTCCATGAGTAAGGTGAGTATCGCCGACATCAGAAAACATTTGCAGGGGATGCAAAATACGCCCCCCCCCCCCAGGCACCTAGCTAAGACTATTGTTTGTCACACCTCCAGTGATGGAAGCGACATTTTGCTTTTTAGAGAAGATTTTAGAGCAGAAAAATGGTGCTTCGGAGCAAGCTCAAGTGTATTCGGAGCAGAAAAAAATCCTATAGCTTAGGGTTGCTTTTGGTGTTTTTGGAGCAGATGCGTGTTTCTAATGACTCCTGAAGTCTAAAGCATCACTTAAGCATCTAATAAATGTTTATATTTATTACTAAACATGCCGTATGCTAATATGCAGGTAGTATACAAGCAATATAGTTGGCGTAAATCATGGGCGGGCGGGGGGGGGGGGGGGGGGGGGGGGAGATTAGGTCACGAAAGTTTGGACTATTCTGGTGTTCAGGCTGGGGAGGACACCCCTTGTACGTGTCCAACTTGAGATTTAGCTTTAGCGCGTGATATCATTGAGTTAACAGTTACGTATCTTGAAAGGCCTTTTATCTTTTACTGCGTACCTGTGTTATATGCCTTTCAGCTATGTGAACTATGGAAATCGGAAAAAAGGTGAAGAAAAAGAGACTGAATAAAACAATGCAATTGCTCGAGCTCAGACTTGACCATGCTCGTTTTTTTTTAAATTTTATTTGAAAGCATGATTTAATTCTCATATAAATAAAAATACAGCCCATATTAAAAATACAAATTGGACACCTTGGCCTGACATGCGTCACCCCTTGAGATTTTTCTGGATTTACGTCATTGAGTAGCATACTAAGATGATAGTGTATAAATCTCGCCTTTGGTTTCCCTTATACCCCTGTCACACGGGCACCCGCGAAGGCCGTTTAACTCCCTCGTCCTTACGACAACGAAGATGCAGTCCATGTCACACGGCCACCATTACGCAAACGAAGGTAAACGGAGCATTTCGCAAAGGGCGTTCAATGATCTCCCTTGGCAGCGAAATGAGGTACTCTCGTCCCCAGCAGTCTAGAGGTCAGAGAAAAATTTCGAGCACTAAGTGGCCGCCGTGAAAGCATAATACATTTCGGCAACATTAAACGTTCTTTCGTTGTAGTACTCATTCACAACGCGTGTTTGTTTACATATATTTACGCCCGCCAGAGTTTACTTACTCTCAACACCGATGCCCTACACACCGTGTCTCGCGAGTCGGGCCGGCCGGCGCCAGCCGATCAACGTCATTGCCAGTGCAATATCGTACCACTTCCTCACGTCGTCCGCTGTGTCACTCATGGCTGAAGAACACAAAATGTGCGCTCACGAGTCAAGGAAGCATAAGAACTTTCGTTCCGGGCATGTACACAGGCAACAAAACAACTGAACGCACAATGTGGCCAGCATCACTAGCAGCATTGCTACATTTAGCAAATGCATTTTTATTTGAAATTATTTTCAATGGTTTGTTAGTCGCATACCTACTTAATTGTGCTTTTTTATAAAAACAGCATAACGAGGATTCACAAAAAGTTAATAGAGATGAAATTAGAATACTTTTTCGAAAATCAAACAGCGCCAGCTGAGCTCCCTCGCGGCAACTGTTACAACCTTGTCATTGCCGTGTGACACTGCCACAACTCCTTCTCCGTCGAACCCCCCTAGGGGAGATTTACGTTGACGGTGTTCAACGGAGTTTGGTGGTGGCCGTGTGACAGGGGTATTAGGTTCACTGGGTGGTTTTATGGTCCAACTTCATTCTTTTTAGTTTGCCAACACCATTTTGGAGCAGGTTTGGAGCAGTTACTAGCAAATATTGCACTTTGGAGCAGCATGAAGCAGCATTTCTCTTTTGAAAAAGTTTAGAGAAATTGGAGCAGCACTTCTGTCACTGCACCTCTTGCTCTGTTGTCTGGCTGCTCTCAAGATGGTTTTGGCTGCTTATGTCAAGAATGTTTTCCTTTTTTTCTGAGGGAGACACGCTCAAAGCATCCACATCGCTTCATTCTTCACCATGTACAGGTCTCCAATTCAAAAATGGCACAAGCAGCGTCAGCAAAGTGTGAGTGCACGTAGTCTCAGGCACTCCCCACTGTGGTGCGCTTATATTTGCATGGTATTCAGGCAGGCATTTCGAGCTGACAGAAATTTTTCTCAATTAACGATGCTAGCATTAATTCTACAAAGTATTAGAGCATTTATAACTAATTTCAGTATTAACAGACACAAAGCTACAAATTACTGTGAAAAAAGGGACAAACCAAATTTATGTTGTCAGGGAGCCTTTAATAAACAGTTTCTGCTCCATGCAGGGGTGCAACACACAAAATAGAATTTGGAGGAATTTTCGGCAGCAAAAGTTCAGTTTTGGAGCATGAAAATCCAAAATTAAAGCAGGTTTTGGAAAAATAATGAATGTGACTTTTAAAGCATGAAATTCCAAATTTGGAGCAGTATAACAAGAAAGCTTACATTTATAAAAGAAAACAAAAATATGTGCAAACCATTTAGCATCAGCTAACTCATGCACAGTGCATGTGAGTACTGCTATTTTAATAAAAACAGTGCATTGAACCTCCTCACCATGTAAACAATGATGAAGTGTACATTAGCCTATGCAGTGCCTGTGAAACATTTTGGCAAGTGCTACAAATGACAATGTGGACCAGTGTAGAACTGCGGTAAGAAGTGGTGGCGCGACAGTTTTTAGTTTACTTTTAATTACTTTGTGCTGTAAGCTCAGGGAGGCATGCCAGCCGTTGTGCTGAATTTGCTTCGGCATATAACATT